TCAGGTTGGATGGGGAGCGTCGCTGCACAGCTATTTTCAAGAATGTCCAGAGATGTTCAATCGGGTTCAAGTCCGGGCTCTGGCTGGGCCACTCAAGGACATTCAGAGACTTGTCCCGAAACCACTCCTGCATCGTCTTGGCTGTGTGCTTAGGGTCGTTGTCCTGTTGGAAGGTGAACCTTCACCCCAGTCTGAGGTCCTGAGCAGGTTTTCATCAAGGATCTCTCTGTACTTTGCTCCATTAATCTTTCCAGCGATTCTGACTAGTCTCCCAGTCCCTGCCACTGAAATACATCCCCACAGCATGATGCTGCCACCACCATGCTTCACTGAAGGGATGGTGACAGGTTTCCTCCAGACGTGACCCTTGGCTTTCAGGCCAAAGAGTTCAATATTGGTTTCATCAGACCAGAGAATCTTGTGATCTCATAGTCTGAGAGTCTTCAGGTGCCTTTTGGCAAACTCCAAGCGGGCTGTAATGTGCCTTTTACTGAGGAATGGCTTCCGTCTGGCCACTCTACCATAAAGGCCTGATTGGTGGAGTGCTGCAGAGATGGTTGTCCTTCTGGAAGGTTCTCCCATCTCCACAGATTGCCCATCTGGTTCGTGGTCACCTCCCTGACCAAGGCCCTTCTCCCCCGATTGCTCAGTTTGGCCGTGCGGCCAGCTCTAGGAAGAGTCTTGGTGGTTCCAAACTTATTTCAGTTAAGAATGATGGAGGCCACTGTGTTCTTGGGGACCTTCAATGCTGCATAATTCTTTTTGTACCCTTCCCCAGATCTGTGCCTCGACACAATCCTGTCTCGGAGCTCTACGGACAATTCCTTCGACCTCATGGGTTGGTTTTTTGCTCTGACATGCACTGTCAACTGTGGGACCTTATATAGACAGGTGTGTGCCTTTCCAAATCATGTCCAATCAAGTTGTAGAAACATCTCAAGGATGATCAATGGAAACAGGATGCATCCGAGCTCAATTTCGAGTCTCATAGCAAAGGGTCTGAATAGTCATGTAAATAAGGTATTTCTGTTTTGCTAAATTTGCAAAAATGTCTAACATTCAGTTTTTGCTTTGTCATTATGGAGCATTGTGTGTAGATTGCTGAGGATGTTATTTTTTATTTTTTATACATTTTAGAATAAGGCTGTATCATAACAAAATGTGGAAAAAGTCAATAAATCAATCACATTTTATTTATAAAGCCCTTTTTACATCAGCAGATGTCACAAAGTGCTATACAGAAACCCAGCCTAAAACCCCAAACAGCAAGCAATGCAGATGTAGAAGCACAGTGGCTAGGAAAAACTCCCTAGAAAGGCAGAAACCTAGGAAGAAACCTAGAGAGGAACCAGGCTCTGAGGGGTGGCCAGTCCCCTTCTGGCTGTGCTGGGTGGAGATTATAACAGTACATGGCCATTAAGGCCAGCCTTTTCTCCAAAATGTTAAAACGTTCATAAATGACCAGCAGGGTCAAATAATAATCACTGGTTGTAGAGGTTGCAACAGGTCAGTACATCAGGAGTAAATGTCACTTGGCTTTTCATAGCCGGGCATTTAGAGGTTGAAATAGCAGGTGCGGTAGAGAGAGAGAGTTGAAAACAGCAGGTCTGGGACAAGGTAGCACGTCCTGTGAACAGGTCAGGGTTCCATAGCCGCAGGCAGAACAGTGGAAACTGGATCAGCAGCACGACCAGGTGGACTGGGGACAGCCAGGAGTCATCAGGCCAGGTAGTCCTGAGGCATGGTCCTAGGGCTCAGGTCCTCCGGGAGGGGAGGGAGAGAGGGGGTCTGAATACTTTCCGAAGGCACTGTTTATATGTATGTATACATGTATACTTTTATTTTGTATGGGGTAGATCATCTTTAATATTGCAGATAGATTGTGGTTTCTATCAGTGTAATTACCCCATCATTTCCAATCCCCCATACATTCATGTTTTGTAAATACATTATATATTATTTTAAATATGTATTTTTTAAACTATATTTTCCTTCTTTATTATTTCCCCCTAACCATACCACCCCTCCCCTAATTCGATTAATCTAATGGATAACAACACTTGGGCTTCTACTTCCAGTTTATACATTTTACGGACACAGTATATTTTACATGAGTTATCTTTTGTTTGTTTTCAGTCCCAGCCTTCAGCTCCCCTCAACCCCTCCCATCTATCTCTGAAAACAATCCAGTGTTGATTTCTAGCTGCCGTACATTTTACCACTGTGTTGTTTCACAAAAGTTCTGAACCTTTCCATTCTCATAGTTTCTACAGACTGTAAATTAAAGATAAACATTTTTGGTAAAAGTATTATATTATTGATCGATTGACTATGACTTTTCAAATCACCCAGCAATACTATTTGCAATTTTTCAGCCATTTCTGAACCTGCGACCAAAAACAAGCTACATATGGACAGTACCAAAACAAGTGATCTAATGATTCTAGGGTAATATTTTAACAGTAGTACATTATAGAGGTAGTATTTTAACAGTACCTTG